TTCCAACTTCTCCCACTTCTCCTTCGACACAGAAGTTCTGCATGCACTTTTATCTATTAGTTCTTCAACTCCAGTTATTTCCATCTTACGGACAAATATTAGAAATGGGACAATAAAGTCAGTTACCTTCCAATGCACAAATAGCTAGTAGCAGCATCTCCATGTACTAGCTTTAAAGTTGCTAGGACATCAGCAGATCCATGAAGAGATCCTGACACTCCAACATTTGCTGAAACTGAATAAGTAATACCTGGGGAAATCTTGTTGGTGATTTCCTGTTCCAGTCCCTGCCAGCATTCATTCCGATCCGTCACAACAGCATACTTAACACGTGAATTGATGGATGCTTCCTCCTCATAATTTGACTCGGCCAAAGTTGCATTACAGCAATTGGGGTGCCAATGTTGCAGTCCCATTGAGAAGTCATGGTTCAGTAAGATATTAGCAGCACGTGGAGGACTTAGTTTGGCCGAGTTCTCTTCGACAGCCTGTCATAAAAATATGAGAGTAGCGTAGGAAGGAGATCCAGGAAACCATCTAAATAATCAAAACTCTAATAAGAATAAAAGTTCATATATCCCTTTTATCAGAATGATCACTAAAAATGTCAGATTATACAAACAGATCCCGGTATAACAAAATGGTGAAACAAATCAGTACCCCTGAAACATCATTAGCATTGTTCTTCGGGGTGGTTTCCATGGTCACAACAGCACTCTAGCCAAATTCAAATGCAAAACAAATTTTATCAGATAAGAAGGAAACAGTAAAAGACGTCTAATTAGTTAAAAGAGAGAATTTCTTGGAGATAGAAGGCGGACTAGCACCTGAGAAGGCTTGTCACTGTTGGGATTCTGATGATTGAAGTTGGGAGATCGGCTTGTGAAGCAGCAGGCACATGCCTTCCTCATTTATACGAACTAATCAGATTTACAAGTAAATTCTAAGGAAAGCCAAGACATCCAACCAAACAAACAATTTAAGTCTCTGCTCATTAAACAAATGAGCAATTGGCAGCAATTAGCTTCCGTCAAGCAATTCCAATTTGAATACTATCAAAAGGGTTGTCATATTTTGCTTTTTCTTGCAGATTGGAGCAATGCTAGTGCCCCTATATGCTTGAATTAAAATGGAAGCGTTAAGACTGTTCTGTGTTTCCTAATCCACGATAAAAGCCGACCTCTTGCTTTGGTTCTTGGCCTCCTTGATTACCAGAAGAATTGGCTTACAAGATATGTGATAGTACAAACTTCTGGCAATTAGAAGTTAGGTGGTGGGTCATCCAAAAGTTCATATTGGGCACCCAAAAGTTCATATTAGATGAAAAGTGAATCGGGGATGTGACTTCTAAACTCAATTTACCCAGATCCTCATGGTTCACTTGAGAAACAAATAAGATTTGGCTTTCCCTATTTGATGCCCATATCCTCAAGCTGATTGGAGCGTCCATTCCAAACAGAAATCTGTCTTTCAGGACAGAAACCAACAAAGCCTAAATCTGCCCATTCAACTGCTCGATTATGCCTCCACATTTGAGACCAAATTTCAGAGAACATACAACGAGAGCGTACCGCCATCCTTCCTGATGGAAATGAAAATGTAAGTACAATTTCCACATTGGACCAGTTTTGAAAGCACTGCCTCAGAAAAAAACCCAAACGGAAAGTTCATAATGTAATATTAATTTTCAAGAAACAGGCGGCAAATAATCATGGTATTTTCTCACTGAAATTCTCAGTATGCGAACATGAAAGGTCCAACCAAATAAAAGCATATCATAAATGACTCTCAACCATTGCAATAACGCTCACACAGGGAACTTGTATTCAAAATCAATGGGAAGAAAACCTCCAAGTTCAATTGCACTTTCTCTTAGGTGATACGATTTCTTGCCTTGTTCTACAAATTAAAAGCCTAACAGACACCAGAGTGAAACCTGTAAGCTTCCTTCACTAGCATCATCATTTGAAAACACACCAACGATTGAAACCATTGGCTTAGCTTAACAGATAAACATGGAGAAACTTCCATCCAAAAACAATGGCATTCGATAAAATACAAATGGAAACACATGCCAATAAAACATCAATGCAAGGCTCTGCTAATAGAGAATGGAGCAAAAACTGACGATCTAATTAAGCAACCATCAACACATGTTAGACATAAGCAGAAGAGCTCCAGATCACGACAGTCGGATTTGGATACGATTGAAATCAATCTAGATCATAGCAGCTTAGAAACACTGAATTGAAATATCAATGAACTAATAATAGCTTTGAAAGGTCGAAATTCTAGAACTGGATCGATAATGTCCCAAAGCAAAGCGACATTTCCCGCAGAAACGAAGAAGAGAGACGGGTTGAGGTTCGCAGAGTGTGCGACTGAGAATACCTGAAAACGAAGAGAATCTGAGGAGGTTGAAGAAAAACCCTTCCAGAAGCAACTTCCTCTTCCTCCGATACCCGCCAACTTTTGTTATTTTGTATTTACAGACAAAATAATAATAATAATAAAAAATAAAAAAAAAGGTTTGTAAATAATATTTAAAATTCTTTAAATTATCATTTATTGAAATTTATTATTCCTTCGTCCATATAATTTTTAATCATTAGTTCGAGAGGAAAACAAAAGAAACCTTTCCCTAGCAAACTGGTTTTAAAGTCTTGGGAGGAAAAGTCTAAAGAGGACAATATCGGCTAGCGGTGGATCTGGGTCGCTACAAATGGTATCAGAGCCAGACACCGAACAATGTGCCAACCTTCTCGCTATTTCCCAAAAGGGGTAGACACGAGGCAGTGTGCTAGTAAAGACGCTGGGCCTCAAAGGGGGGTGGATTTGGTGGCGGTCTCACATCGATTAGAGAAAGGAACGAGTGCTAGAGAGGACGTTAGACCTCGAATGGGGGTGAATTGTGATGTCCCACATTGGTTGGGGAAACCTTTCTGTAGAAACGCATTTTAAAGCCTGAGGGGAAGCCCGAAAGAAAAAATCCAAAAAAGATAATATCATCTGGGTCGTTACAACCGTATACACGAAATTGAAAAATATATAAATAAAAGTTGTATTTATAATAATATCAAAGAGAAAAACAGAGATTTAAAAATTAAAATTGTTAAACGTAAAATTACATGGCTACCCTTATTGATATTACCAACGGCCCAAACCCGGATTCAGGCCCAACCCATTAAAAAATTAAAAACTAATTAGTCTTACATAAAATTTAAATTCTGTCTTTTAATTCTAAATAAAAAATTAAAAAATGTAACCATTTATACTATTTAGTAGTTGAAACATTAAATAGACCCAAGTGTGTGTTCTTATTTCTTTTATTTATTTTCATAAATTAGTGTTTATTAAAAAAATATTACAAAATATAATTTAAAGATTCTAGACAATAAAATATAAATACCACTTTAACCTATAATTATAAGACATAGTTTTATTAAATTTTATTTTATAAATATAAATATATCGTTCTTATCTTTAAATTATAAAAAATATAGATAAAATGGTGGGTCCCCCAACTTTATTAAAAAAAATTATGTAACTATGGGTTTGAAAAGGGTAACGCATGTGGTTGATTTTGCTTGTGATTACAATGGGCCAAAATCATTCGGATTTGGAACCCAACTCCACTAATATCCAAATTAATTGTTAATTTATGATTTTAATTAATCTAATAAAGTTATTTAAGGGCTTTTTAGTATAATGAGCTTTGTTATACTCTTTTATTGCATACAATTGCGACTTTAATATATTTTTTAAAAAAATTAAGAAAGATGATTATTTAATTATTTTAGGAAAACAGTAAAATAACTATTATTTATAATAATCTATAATTAAATTGTGATGTCCCACTAGTTGGGAAGAGAACAAACCACCATTTATAAGGGCGTGAAAACTTTTTCCTAATAAACTCGTTTTAAAGCTTTGAGTAGAAGTCCGAAAGAAAAAGCTCAAAGAAGACAATATCTACTAGCGGTGGATCTGAGTTGTTACAAATGGTATCAGAGCCAGACACTGAACGATGTGTCAATCTTCTCGCTGTTCCTCGAAGAGGGTAGATACGAGACGGTGTGCCAGTAAAGACGCTGGGCCCCAAAGGGGGTGGATTTGGGAGTGGTCTCACATCGATTGGAGGAAGGAAAGAGTGCCAGCGAGGACGCTGGGCCTTAAAGGGGGGTGGATTGTGATGTCCCACATTGGTTGGGGAGGAGAACAAACCACCATTTATAAGGGTGTGGAAACCTTCCCCTAGTAGACGCGTTTTAAAGCCTTGAGGGGAAGCCCGAAAAGAAAAAGTCCAAAAAAGATAATATCTACTAGCGGTGGATCTCGATCCTTACCTACCTTGCTCATAAGGTGGAACTGAACGGCTGAAGGAGATAACCAAGTCGTAGTAATCTTCTAATAAATCGTACTTAAAAAATTAATTATTTTATAATATATTATATATAATAATGTATTAACAGCAGCAATATTATTGCAGATGTGGGAACCGCCACTAGAACAAGTAAAATAAAATTAAAAAGAAAAAAAGACAGGGATTGTTACAAAGCCACAAGTAGTGCCACGTATACACATGGATAGTCATGGAATGTTAAAGGCATCGCTACGTCACTCTCAACTCCAGGCCCTATCAGCCACGTGGATAAATGTGAAACTCCAACCTGTGTCACTGCGACACGAGTTGGATTGACCGTACAACCATATCTGTCCACCTGGCAGCTGATATTCTGAGTGGGACCCATGAGATAGAATTTACTGTTTTTGTCTTTATTAAAAAAGATCCATTTAGTCGTGTGTGCATGCGTAGTGATTACTGATTAATTATTAATCGCTAAAAATTTGATTAATTATTGCTAATTAAACTTGGTTATTTGTTAATTATATTTACCTAACCTTCTTTATTCCTTATTTATTTAGAATAAATCAGCGGGACTGTTTTAAAACGGTGGGGTTAGTATTTGCAGTTTTAAGTTAACCCAACTCTTACCAACCCGGTAACCCACTTACGGTTAAAAATTTGGTCTCTCTTTTCATCGGTTTATATGTTCGTAGCCGATCCTTTCTCTTCATTCACAGAGTCGGCTGAAACACGATGATCCGCGGACAATATAGATTCAATCATACAATTCAACTCCCCTCCAGGGACCCACTTGAAGACCATCAAATGACCGGAATTTCCTCGCCGGTCTTCATCGGCGCCGGTGTTGACTTCTCTTCTGCCATTCACCGTTACCTTCCCTCTGCGGCTGATTCTGACGAAGTGGACGCGGCGGACTCGCCGGTTGATGGTTTTTCCTGTGACGATTTTCGGATGTTTGAGTTCAAAATTCGGAGATGCCCACGTGGTCGGTCGCATGATTGGACGGAGTGTCCGTATGCCCATCCCGGCGAGAAGGCTCGCCGGAGAGATCCGAGGAAGTATCAATATTCCGGCACGGCTTGTCCGGAATTTCGGAAAGGGAATTGCAAGAAAGGGGATTCTTGCGAACTTGCTCATGGGATTTTCGAATGTTGGCTCCATCCCGCTCGGTATCGGACTCACCCCTGTAAGGATGGATTGGCCTGCCGCCGCCGTGTCTGTTTTTTCGCCCACACGACAGGGCAGCTTCGGGTTCTGTCACAGCAGAGCCCGAGAACTCCGGTTTCGGGCGACTCACTCGCATTCGATTCCTATTTCGCCCATGGGTCATTTCTGACCTCACCCACTTCAATTCTATCAACGCCGCCGGTCTCCTCGCCGTCCGATTCGCCTCCTATGTCGCCGAATTGCCCCCGACTCGGCGGCGGGTCGTTTAATTCGATGAATGGGCTCGTTTTGTCCATGCGTAACCTTCAAATGGGGGAAATGAAAGCAACCCCTCAATGGGGGGTTCAAAAGGGACAAAATTTGCATTCTCCCTCCGGCTCTGGTTTCTACAGCTCACCGTCGACTCCGACCACCGGGAATTACGAATTATGGGGGAAGAATTATGAAGAAGAACCTCCAATGGAAAGAGTGGAATCTGGGAGAGACCTGAGAGCTAAAATGTATGCGAAACTCAGCAAAGACAACTCAGTGGCGCAGCCATTGACACCCGATGTCGACTGGGTCTCGGAGCTACTGATGTGGACAGGGTGAATTCCATCCGTTGGATTCAAAATCGGTGGCCTTTTTGGTGGATTTCTGCAATTTTCAGCGTTTTAAAGGGTTTCTTTTTCTTAATGAACAGAGATAAACAAATTACTCTGTTTTCGTTGTACATAAGAATACGGGCTTTTGATTTGATTTTGCAGGGCTGCTGAAGTCGGTACATAAGAAGACTGCCGGTCGCCGGTTTCCTGTTGCCGGCTGCCGGTTGCCGGCTGGGCATTTGATTTAATTTTCAATTGTTATTTTGTAAATAATGTTTTCGGACCAATGATAAATTTATTTTGTTGCCTTTCAATTTATTAGCAAAAGAAAATTTCCCCATTATTAACCCACGAGAAGCCTAAATGATATCAATGGCAGTCACGGCTGCGACCAGGACCGCCATAGTAGAAGATAGGTTCACTAATGTAAGTTTCTTGAAAATTATCAACAGAGTAACAAGTAGGTTCATCGGCCCATGTTCCGACTCTCTCTCGATACTTCAATTGCAGCGAATAGTCCACAATCCTCGGCATGCTCACATAGCTAGCGTAGTAGGCGTGCGCCCCTGCATAATCTCCACTCCCCATGGCCGTCCCCGTGTGCGGCACTTTCTTTAATTCTGAGCTGAACACTTCTCCGCCCCATTCCACCAGCGTCGCGCTGTGGCTCAAGTATCCGAATAGCGTCGGCGGCCAATACCCCACTGGCTGATTTTGTACCTTTAGCCACCAGTTGCCTGATTGAAGATCCTGAATGTATTAACGTTAACAATCCGTTATGACTCCCTTACGATATTTTCCACTTTGAGCCTAAACTCTCGTAACTTCATAACAATCCTTAACATAATACACGTACCATCATTACTCTTTGGTTGGATATAAAATTAGATACCTGGAAGATACCAACGGCGATAATGAACTGTTGTCCACCTGAAATTGACGACATGGGTTCGATGGTTCCACCAAGTCCCACCATAGGGTTTGTTTGGACAAACCCACTACAAGTTAAATCAAAGCACCCTGTCGACTTGTAGGAGTCCACCTAACCATTTTTCCAAGTTAGATACTCAAAATTTTTCGATGCTCTTAGAAGTGAAAATTCTCAATCTTACTGTCCAATATATGTTGAGTCGAGTTCTTGTATCTCCATATAGCCTCGGATTTACCTGTAACAACAATAACAAATTAAAACATATATTAACTAAGTGCATTCAATTGCTATAAGTTTAAAAAAAAAAAAAAAAAAAAAAAACGAACCGTCCAGCCAACTTCTACGCTATCAAAACTTTCAGAAGGCCCATTTTTCAACCAAAGTTTTGAAGCTGAGAAGTCATTTGGCAAATCAACTCTAGGGTTCCAAACATTAATTTCTCCCGTCGCGCCAATGTAGTTGTACCCTAGTGTAACCAAAATTGCTGTCTGGTTCATATTTAATACCAAATTATAAAACAATTGAACTTTAATTTCGAAACCCAAAACAAAAATATGTTTAGGGAAGGTTTTGCTCACAGAACGATTGACTTCCGCCCCTAAGTTTGGAACCTCCAATAGGAAATTTCTTCCCAAAGTTTTTGAAAGAATTGGCTCTTAGTAAGTCTTCTTTAATAACCCTACGAATTGGAATAGTTCCTTTGGGACACACCTCCCACTTTTTTGCCATACTTGAAATAGATTGGATCGAAACGACTCGTTTTGGGCCGTTGCCATCTTCTGATCGACAGCCCAATTGGGTTTCATCTGCATGCATATACGCAAACATCGATTAAAAAATGTTAAAATCATTAGAAACCACGAATTTCCACAATACTATGATATTGTCCACTTTAAACATAACCGTTATGGTTCTATTTTCGGTTTACCTCAAAACACCTCGTAACTTACTTATAAACAATAATTCGATCAAATATATAAACCTGAATGGTGTGGTTCTTTAGAGCCGGATGGTCAAAAGCAGGCTGCTTGTAAATGTCAACGCAATCGATAATATCTCCATCTTTACTCTGCATGATTCCCATGCAAAATTATACGTAAAAAAAAGCATTAAAAAATTTTTAAAAACGCAATGAAAAGAAAGATGTTACGTAGATGGTGTGGAGGGCAGGCTTATTAAGAAGCTTTAACTTCTTGTGAATCTGTCGAGATAATTGTTGAGACTTATTCATCTCTGGAATGGCTGCACGAGCTTGGAGAATGGCAGCAGCAATGGCCAAAGCCACCATTGCCGACAGCTTCCCTTCATGTTCTGTGTTCCTCATTTTTCCCGAAACAAACCCAACACAAAAAAGTTATGATTTTTCCTTGTTTTCTTCAAATATTTATGTGATTTTTTTTGTTAATCTATTTGGAAGTTAATAAATTTTTAAATTGAGAATAAGGTAAAAATTGGTGAGAAATGGCAGAAGGGGAAGCTTTGCTGTTCTAACCAATAATAGTTTCATATTTTAATTGTAACAAATAAAATGTGATTTTGACAAAATTACTAAATTACCCCTACCAAATTTCCATATTATAAAAAATATTTAAGCTAGAATATTGGATAACCATGAATTAAATGCATCTATTAAAATATTCTAAATTTGTATATGTTTTACTCAAATATTATAAAGAAATAAAACTTTTAAGTAGCTTCTTGTACAACTTCTCTAGAACGGAAACAAAGTTAAAAGCTTAAATAATATCAATGGTAGTCACGATTGCGACCAGGGCCACCGTAGAAGAAGACAGGCTCAGTAGTGTAGGTTTATTGATAATTATCAGCAGAGTAACAAGAACGCTCATCAGTCCAAGTTCCGACTCTCTTTGGATACTTCAATTGCAGCGAATTGTCCACGATCCTTGGCTGCTTCACATAGCTAGCGTGCTTGTATTGCCTCCCTGGATAATCTCCACTCCCCCATGGCCGTCCCTGTGTGTGGCACCTTCTTTACGTTTGAGTTGAACACTTCACCGCCCCATTCCACCAGCGCAGCGTAGATATCCGAATAGCGTCAAACAAATATGTTGTATGATTGAAGATATTTAGCAATGTTTTGCATGTGTACCATATTTGACCATATATTATATGGGTACCATATTTGACCACATGTGTGTGTTCCATTACATAGTATCATATTATTATATCTATTTATTATTTTTTTCTCTATCATTGGTAATTTATATGATGATTATAAAGAGAGAATTTCACCAACATTTAGCTGTGTGGTTTTAGCAAATATATTCCGGTTGAGTAATTCATGGAGAAGGAGAGAAGACTCCATATGAAATTAGATACCTGAAACATACCGCCAGAGATAATGAACTGTTGTCCACTTCTGGTTGATATGGGATCAATGACAGCACCCAGTACTACTTTGGGGTTCGTTTGAACAAACCCACGACAAGTTAAATCAAAGCATTCCGTTGATTTGTATGAATCCACCTAACCATTTTTCCATTCAAAATTTTTCAATATTCTCTCATGAGTTCTTATAATTGAAGACTCTCGATTTTACAATCCAATGTACGCGGAGTTGAGTTTTTGTATCTCCATATAGCCTCCAATTTACCTGTAACAACAAAAATAAATTAAAATTAAATGTTAAAACATGTACTAATTAAGTTTACATTATAGTAGTAATAAAACGAACCATCAAGCCAGCTTCTACGCTTTCAAATTTTTCAAACGGCCCATTTTTCAACCAAATTCTTGAAGTCGTAAAGTCATTTGGCAAATCAACTTTAGGGTTCCAGGTATTAGCAACAAATTAATCAACTAAACTTTAATTTTGAAACCCAAATAAAAAATATGTTTGTGGAAGGTTTTGCCGGAACTTCCATAAAAAAAAATTCTTTCCAAAGCTATCGAGAGAATTGACTCTGAGTAAGTCTTGTTCACGAACTCTGCGAATTGGAATGGTTTCTTTGGGACATCTCCCACTTCTTTGCCATACTTGAAACGCCTCGTTTTGCTCGCTCAACCGACATCTTCCAATCGACGCCCCAATCGGGTTCCATCTATATGCATATATGCAAGCATTGGTTAAGAGTGTAAAGAATATGATTTGATAAACATGAAGAACTGAACCTGAATGGTATGATTCTTTAGAGCCGGATGGTCAAATTTCCATGCAATATTATACGTGAAAAACCGATCAAAAAGGCATTAAATTGTTTTCAAATATTTAAAAGAAGGCGATGTTACGTAGATGGGTGCTTTGGAATCTGCACAGATAATTGTCGAGAATTATTCATCTCCGGAATGGCGGCATGAGCTTCGAGAATGGCAGCAGCAATTGCCAAAGCCACCATTGCCGACAGCTTCCCTTCTTGTTCTGTGTTCCTCATTTTCCCCGAAACAAACCCAACACAAAAGTTATGATTTTTCTTTAATTAATTACGAAAATTTGTACTAAAATAGAAAATATCTAATAAAAAAATATTTATTAGAAGTAAGCACAATGGTTTAACATTTACAAGTTTCCCCAGCCCCTGACGTCCAAAATTACGAGGGACGCAGTGTGTGAGATCCCATATCGGTTGAAGAAAAGAACTAAACAACTCGACTTTGTATTGAAATCTTCATCCGTTCAAACACAAACACTACAATTAGTGGCTCATAATTATGAGACCGAGAAATTGCTTAAAGAGATTGTCACAATGTGTTTGATAATTTTTAGGTTGAATTATGTGTTTAGTAAATAAGTTCTCAAATTTATATTTAAAGCTCACATAATGGAAATTTAGAGATGTATTAGACAATTTTTAAAGTAACTTACAAAAAAAGGATAGAGGATATATTAAGGAAACACATTACAAAAAGGATAGAGGATATATTAAGGAAACACATTGAAGGGACAACTTTTTCCACGCTATTAAATGATTTTGATGGTATCAATGGCAGTCACGGCTGCGTCCAGGACCGCCATAGAAGAAAACAGGTTCAGTTGGGATTGTACTTCGATAATTATCAACAGAGTAGCAAGAATACTCATCAACCCAAGTTCCAACTCTCACCGGATACTTCAACTGTAGCGAATAGTCCACGATCCTTGGCTGCCTCACAAAGCTAGCGTACTTGTAATGCTCCCCTGCATAGTCTCCGCTCCCCATGCCCGTCCCCGTGTGTGGCACTTTCTTTATGTTTGAGCTAAACACCTCCCCGCCCCATTCCACCAGTGTCGCGCTGTTGCGCAAGTATCCAAATAGCGTCGGCGGCCAATACCCCACTGGTTGCCCTTGCATTTTCAGCCACCAGTTGCTTGACTGAGGATCCTGCATCAATTAATATTAACACGCATCCATATATATACCTACTATGATTAAATAATCATGGAGAAGGAGTAGGTTGCATGTAAAATTAGTTACCTGAAAGATACCGACCGTGATAATGAACTGTTGTCCACCTCTGGTCGACAATGGGTCAATGACTGCACCAAGCACCACTTTCGGGTTCGTTTGGACAAACCCACTGCAAGTCAAGTCAAAGCACCCTTTCGATTGGTAGGAGTCCACCTAACCATTTTTCCATGTTAGATACAAATTATACTCAAATTTCTCTCACCGCTCTGATAAATGAAAATCCTCGATCTTACTGTCCAATGTACACTAAGACGAGTTTTCGTATCTCCATACAACCTTGGATTAACCTATAACAACAGGAACAAATTAAAACTCATCAAGTCCTTAAAATTGTTTTCCCAAAAAAGACAAAAAATGTACCATCCAGCCGGCTTCTACGCTTTCAAATCTTTCCGAAGGCCCATTTTTCAACCAAATTCTTGAAGCTGTGAAATCACTCGGCAAATCAACTTTAGGGTTCCAAACATTAAGCTGTCCTGAAGCGCCAATGTAATTGAAGCCGGCCGTATACAGGATCGCCGTCTGGTCATATTCAACACCAAATTATAACACAATTAGCTCAACTAAACTTTAATTTTGAAACCCAAAACAAAAATATGTTTATGGAAGGTTTTGCTTACCGAACGATTGACTTCTTTCCCGAGTTTGGAGCTTTCATAAGGAAATTTCTTTCCAAAGCTATCAAGAGAATTGGCTCTTAATAAGTCTTGTTCACGAACTCTGCGAATTGGAATGGTTCCATTGGGACAACTCCCACTTCTTTGCCATACCTGAAAGGCCTCGTTATGCTCGGTCGACATCTTCCAATCGACGCCCCAATCGGGTTCCATCTATATGAAGCATTGGTTAAGAGCGTAAAGAATATGATTAGGCATACACATAATGATTTGATTAACACGAAGAAATGAACCTGAATGGTGTGGTTCTTTAGAGCGGGATGGTCAAAAGCAGGCTGCTTGTAAATGTCAACACAATCGATGATATCTCCATCTTTAGTCTGCATAATTCCCATGCAAAATTATACGTGAAAAAAAAAACATTAAAAAACGCAGTGAAAAGAAAGATGTTACGTAGATGGTGTGGAGGGCAGGCTTATTAAGAAGCTTTAACTTCTTGTGAATCTGTCGAGATAATTGTTGAGACTTATTCATCTCTGGAATGGCTGCACGAGCTTGGAGAATGGCAGCAGCAATGGCGAAAGCCACCATTGCCAAGAGCTTCCCTTCATGATATGTGTTCCTCATTTTCTCCGAAGGAACCCAATACAAAAGTTGATTTTTAGTTGTTTTCTTGGGTTGAGGATGACAATGGAGAATTCTAATATTTATACCACTTTTTGTTCTTCCGTTAAATAAGGTAAATTTGGTTTTGGAATGGCAGGAGAGGAAATGGCACCACGAATTTTTAACCGCCTTGTTTACTGTTGTAACAATTTTTTACTTGGGCAGGACAACAAGTCGATGAGATAGACATATTGGGCCCAACTATTGGCCCGACATATTGGGCCTTGGACTTCAAATGTGTTTGCTTTACTGGGGCTAAGCCAGGTAGACATATTGGGCCCGACATATTGGGCCTTGGACTTCAAATGTGTTTGCTTTACTGGGGCTAAGCCAGGTAAACATATTGGGCCCGACATATTGGGCCATGGACTTCAAATGTGTTTGCTTTACTGGGGCTAAGCCAGGTAGACATATTGGGCCCAACTATTGGCCCGACATATTGGAGGTTGGGAAAAAAGCAACAACGTTGTTTTTATAGGCCTGGTCGCCGATATGCATATTTAGGACTACATGAAGTGGGTCCATTTATCTTCACGTATAACCAAACTATAAAAAGTTGGTAGGATTTAGAGATATCCGCTAAGTAGGGCGTGATGGAAAAGTCTTCCTCGTCCTCATTCACGTTCCTAACACCTATTTAATTTTCTATTATTACGAAGTTTCTCATGCAAAAGGGGAACAAAACATTCTTTATAAGGGTGTGGAAATCTCTCCTAGTAGACCTCTAAAGAGGGTGGACACTGGGCGGTATGCCAGTGAAGACAGTGAGTCCAAAGCGGGGGAACACCTATTTAATTTTCTATTATTACGAAGTTTCTCATTCAAAAGGGAAACAAAACATTGTTTATAAGGGTGTGGAAATCTCCCCTAGTAGACCTCTAAAGGGGGTGGACACTGGGCGGTATGCCAGCGAAGACAGTGAGTCCCAAAGGGGGTGGATTGTGAGATCTCATAGGATCCCGATTCATGGATCTCTCGAGAAATCAAAATAAGAGAATCGAACCATTTCTTCTGACCATTTTTCAAATTTGATAAATGTTGGTTGATTGTATATTTCATTATAGTTCTATGATTCAAAGTATTATTTCTAATTTGATCCCTTAGAATTTCATATTCGAAGTTGCGATTGGTTCTATTCATTAAAAACAAACAATTCAATACATTTCTTATGTACCCATAGGTGTTATATTGGATTTGAATCAGATTTTGGATCAATCTATATTGATTGACTGCCTCCGTCATGTTGTAGCTAGCATTTTTGTTTTAGAAAGAGAGGAAGAGAGCCAGCAAGAACGTTGGGCTCCGAAGATGGGTGGATTGTGAGATCTCTCATCGATTGGAGAGGGGAACCATCACTGGACCACGAATAGGGGTGAATTGTGAGATCGCACATCGGTTGGGGAGGCTGGACCACTAATAGGGGTGAATTGTGAGATCGCACATCGGTTGGGGAGGCTGGACCACGAATAGGGGTGAATTGTGAGATCGCACATCGGTTGGGGATGCCTCAATATTGCAAACTGTGGGCTTGAGCTGTTACAAGTTCCGACTACCTGGTAATGCCCCATGCATAATCTCCACTCCCCATAGTCGTCCCTATGAGCAGCTGAACACTTCGCAACCTATTCCCTATTGAGAATTATGGACCTCCACAGAGGATTAATATTGTCCACGATTTTGTTTTGAGATTTCCCAAAATACCTCGTATCAATGGAGATATATTCCATACTTATAAATTCGCCTTTGGACTTCAATTCTGAGTCCTACACAAAGAAAAGCCCAAATCTATACTCTCAAAACCACTACCAACAGATACAAAACATATCAAAATCAATGTTGGTCGCCATCGAAAGCACAGAAACGAACAGAGCACGAGGCAAGAGACACCACGGAATCTTGGTCGCCATCGCAGTTGTAGAAAAAGTAAGATTCAAGCAGCGGGGACAGACGTCAGTCAAATGTTTTGTTTAAACCTACTCGAATCCATGGAAATTATTCACTGTAATTGCAAAGAAAGTGTTGATGAGAACATTTTTTAAGGAACAAATTGATCGTACCCATAGAGACTTAAAAAGATCCTCAAATCTCTTACTTCGACACTACAAAACTGAATTAAAGATGGAAGCCTAACTTAGCAGGTTCCAAATATTGACAAAAGATAACTTATTTTTTAAGATAAACTAACTATATACCCCAAGCAAAACGGAAGCCGGCAGAATTCAAGACTATCATGTACATAAAGTGACAAAAAACTCGAGTCGTCTCCAAGACATGAAATCAACGAGTGGGAGGAAAGGAAGAGAAGAACTAATCATGTTGGAGACAGACTGCTGAAGATCCGCTTCAAACTCGGGCAAGCGACACGCAGTTGTACCATGCTAATTGGCGAGATCTGCCAGTGAAAGATATATTTCTAAAGGTCAGCCAAAACTAACGTTACAATATGCAAAACTGTCGAGCAATGTCGAAGAGGGAAAGAAAGACACCCCGCCTACCTTCAGACAGGAGCGGACATCTAACGTCTCGAGCATGCTACATTTTGATATTGCAGCTTCGACTGCTTCTTCCTCGATGTTGCAGGACTGGGAAAACACAGAAAGTTTAACATCATTCATATGCATCTCCTTAAATCCCAGTTCTTTCTTTATCTTCCATTGTTAAGTTTTTGAAGTTTAACATCATTCAAGGTTATTCAGATGTTAGTCAGTATTAACATCCAAAACTTACATGAAGGGAAAAAGAGAAATACCAGGAGAAAGAGGCTGGTCAGCCTCGGGCAGTCGAGTCTCAAAACCTCCAGAGAGCAACAATTACTAGATCACAAGAACAGGTTATTCAGCACAGAAACGACAGAAAAATCAACTAGAACTGTTAATAGAGCAAACGGGTGGGCAGAGTATAACCTCAAGTTAAGAAAGCATAGGTTGTAACAAGAAACGTCAACTTCCTTGAGATTTGCAGACAGAGATAGGTTCAACGATGATAAATGAAAACAACGTGCGGCTGGAGGAATGAGAACCTTCCTAATGTTTTGACAACCTACACAATTAAGATTCTGTAACAAACGGTTTGGCTGTGCAACTGGTTTCTCAATATCATCAATGGTGGCCGGACCAAGAGGAAGGGTGGTGCCCGACGATGAAAGCTGCCTAATGCTACAATCCCAATTTAGATCGTGCATGTTCACGCACCCATTTAAGCTCACATGAGTTAACTGTGTGCAACAAGCAAGAAGCTCTTCTATGGCAGACTGACAAAGTATCGCGTAAGACAAATCTAACTCCTGAAGAGCTGGAAGAGCACCTTCCTTGTAGAGAGGTTCTAGCGATGAGTCAGTTAAATACTTGCATGCTTGTAGTTTCAATACCTTCAGTAAGAATACAAAGAAAAAAAGCATCAATTCTTGAGACAATTAGAAAGGGTCGTTATAATGTTCTAGTACTAAATTGCCTAGAAAGCTATATATCTATCATAAAGTACCTTGAGTTGAGCACAAGACTCAAAGACTGGCTGCAAGCTCGTCAAAAATGTATATGATAAATCAAGCACAACCAACTTCGGAAGACATTGAAGAGAGTAAAGCCCCATTGAACCAACCGAAGAACATGACATCAGAATTAACGACTCAATCTGTGGACATGAGGCAGTTGTTGCAGACAAGCACTCGTCTTTCAGTAGGCTGCAAGGGAAAAAGAAGAAATTAATAACATAAGCACCAAACTATATCCATCCAACAGAAGCTATCGTCCAAAGACCCATAACAAACTAACCAACAAAACGAAGCATCCAACGATGTTAGACGAGGGCAATTGATGGCCGCCTCAGACAATCCACCACAGCCTTTCAACTCAAGTAAATCCATACGAGGGGCCTCAAGTCTTAATTCATTCAATTTGGGACAAATTCCCAGGTTTAGTGATCGCAGACCAACCTTAAAAAAAAGATGATGAAAACTCAATCGTAAACACTAGGAGAATATTTATAGTGACAACAAAAGTTCAGAAATCGTCGGTTTTCACATACAGGGGAAAATGATGCCCTTTCAAGATGATCACAGCCATCTAGAGATACTTGTTCAAGATTAGGACATTGAAGTTCAAGTGAAGTGACTGCCCGACAACCGACAAGGGAAAGACTTTCTAAAGAACTGCTACAGAATTGAACGGCTGTCAAACTCTGAACAAAAGAAAGGTTCACATTAGATATCAATGGAAAGTCAAGCCAAATAATTTGCAAATTATTAAGTCCCAAACACTAATACCATGATACAAACGGGTAGCACAAAGCAACTTACCTCGCAGTTATCTAGAACAAGTGATTTCAACGTCGGGCATCCACCATCGTCACTAAAGACCTCACAAATAGAATTTGTTAGAGATTCACAATCTGTGAGGTCCACATCTTGTAGACTAGGGCACTGCAAAACCAATTTGGCCAAGCTCTCTTGTTTCTTCAACACTAATTTCTGCAAGTTCAGAAACACAATCCAGTATTCTTTTATAGCCCTATAAGGTGAAATTAGTAAGGAAGAACACCCTTAAGATCCATTAGAACATACTTGAAGTAAATTGGAAGTGATGTTGATCCGGTGAAGAGAAGGACAATTAGAGACCATAATGGATGATAATTTAACACTCTGTAAACTCAAATCAGAGAATCTGCACACAAGGAAACAAAGCAGATTTAACTCGAGGAAAAAAAGTGATGAAAGATGAAAGTTGTGGAGACAAAAACGCATACTTGCGGCAATGGACAAGTCTGATATTCTGCAAACGAGGAAGATCCAGTGACACAGAAGTCAACAGACTGCAATTATCAAGCTCCAAAACCTGCAATAAGTCTCCATCCGTTTCAACTCATTCAAATACAGCCTCAGACAACTAGAAAATAGACACAGATGAGATAGGTAATTTCAGACCTTCAACCTAGAACAACTAGATATTGCAGTCATTGAAGCTGATGTGATGCCCTCACAGCTGTGAAGCTTAAGCACGGTCAGCATTGTCAATCTTACAGACTTCAAAAGAAGACACAATTGAAGTATCAGGAAAAAAGGAGATCTGAAGGGAAAAACAATCACTTTCACTAAAACATATCACTTAAAAGATATGTCACCTCCAAAGATATATTTGGGCAGTATGATGCATTCAGAAGCTGGAGATTCGGGCAGGTCATAGCAATTTCACGTAATGTCTCATCACTAACACATGAACAATTAGACATATCAAGAGATTCCAATTGTGGGCACGAAATAGCTGCTGAGCGAATCGCAGCATCTGAGAGCTTGTGGCAAGAGCCTATATCCAGGTCACGAAGAAGAGGGCAACTAAGACCAGCATGTGCCATGTTGCTGCGCTTCAAAGACAATGTTTCAAGTTGTGGACATCTGCAAGAAAACATGCTTTAGACCAAAAATAGAAAAAATCCAAACAACTAAATACAGTTAGTATTAAGATACACAGATAGTAGCAACCTGACAGATATACGTATAACACGACATTTAGTAAGATGAAGATGACGCAGTCTATCGTGGCTTATAGGTATCTCTTGTGTAACATTAACTAGCGTAGAATCGTTGACAGTCAAGCTCTTCAACAAATGGCAATCAGCCAGGGCATGGAAAAATGTATCTCCCAGTTGTCCTCTCCCCAGAGTTAAAACCTCCAGATTTCTGAGAAAATATTAAAGTAATAAGCCACGGCAAAAAGATCTGCGATCAGGAAAATTAAAGAATAACATAAAATAAAACTATGATCACTACCTTAAAGAAAAAACTGCTTTCATTGCAAGCAAGTGAACAGCAGGTACACCAGAGATATTCACCTCTGTCGCATTAGGATACCGTCCACACATATCCTCAACTGCAGTCAATTTATAATCACTTAACTAAATAGATATAAATCAAGCAACATAGAGAATATGATTGGATATCTGTTAATATAGAGACCCAGAAATGTGACTGGATAAATATATACTAGAAAATGTGATTGGCAAAAGTAGGTCAAACACAATATACAATTGAAAATTGCAATGGCAACAAGACTACTACAGAGATTTGTCACTACACAACCTATCATACTTTTACAATGATGTCCAGAACTCCTTTCAAAAATCAAAGAGATTGCAAAAGCTAACAATAGCAGAGCAAAAGTTTTTTCCTTTATATTGTATAAATCTAGTCTAAAAGATTTAGAGGGAGAAAAATCATATTGGGTACTCAACACAGGCTCCAAATATGTAACAGCCCTAGGTTTGTATTACAACACGAGTGACTAGAGGCATCCCAGACCTGAATACTGGATTCTACATGTTCAAGTTGTATCATAATACATTACCACGCTTTCCAAGAGGCAACCAAATATGTAACAGTCCTAGGTTTCAATAAGAACACGTCGTGACTGGCGACTGACTAAAGATATTCCAGACTTGCATACTGTATCCTACATGTTGGAGGTGCATCACAATATATTACCTCTCTTTCCACGAGGCAACCAAAATTCTTAAGACCATCTCAACTACTATGGAAAATAGAAGGAAAAAATCAGCAAATGAACTACTTGAAAGACAAAACCTACACTGTTCCATGGATATGTTCCTATTTTCAAAATTCAAACACCTCCAGAAATCTTCATGAGCACTAGCAGCTCGCCACTGCCTGCAGACTATAGCAGCTCGACAAAGATTGATGTGATCCAAGAAAGAGAAAACCTGATACCAATTATGAAATAACTCCATGTGAATAAGAAATTCAAAGAATAAAAAAGGTGAGCAAGAAAGTAAGCATAAATCCAGGAGATGCATACCATATGCAATAAATCATCCGTAAGATCTATTCTTACTTCAGATCCCTCTAATTTACAGGCCCCATTCTCATTTATCTCATCATCATTGCCAAAACTAGATTCAAAATCTCCGTCGTTGTTAACTCTGTTTGATGAAGAACCATGACTGAAAAAATCACCCTTAGACATAATTGAAGATGATCCAGGACTAAAATCGTGATCTCTTGTAAGATTTCCAGCACCCAATAGCCATGGAGTTGCAAAGGAGTACTCACTAGGGAACATTGAAAAGAAAAGAATATAAGAAAGAATATAAAATAATGGTTAAAGGTGAATAACACTTCTCACAAGATTAAGCCAAGTGCATTCATTAGGATTTTGCACTTTCCAACTAGTCTAACTTTTAAGTTATAGGAAACTAGATTGGCATATTGTGCTATTCTGCAAGATCTAAGCGAGTGACAGAATGTGAATTATACGGAATGATACTGCGCATAATTACTATTTCCTTAACTCAGAGCTTACGATTTTCTGCACTACAGATCACACGATGCATCATCAACCACAATGTAAAAGTCGAGTTTCCAACAAAGGATCATATTGAGGACTAAAACAAATCATAAGAGGTTCCGGATTCCTAAGACTATAACCCACCAGGTTGAATTACCAATATGCTCATCCCTTGACGATAAACCTTAATGAAGACATATTTTAATTAGAAATGGAAGTACAGTATTAAAAGTAGGTTAGCAAAGGAGTGTGGTCATCATTACAACCAAGGTTGACAATGCTTGAAAATTTAAGGACTTGTTTGGGCATATCCTGAAACCAATTTACAAGAATAGTTTTTGCAAAATATTGCAGTTATGATCTACTACTCATAATGCAGAAAAAAATTATGAATGAAATTTGATGCACCTTTGAATTTCTGTGTACAAATAACTCATGTACTTGGAACACCAATGTGCATGTGAACACCTTATCATTGTACATGACTCGTTACTTCAAAAAGAAAAAGAAAAAACAAGATACTCAAAAACAATAAGCAGTACAATTTTCCTTTCCATTTTTATAGAACTTTTGTCAGAAAAATGAAACCACAGAATGAATTCCCCAAAACTAAATGCTTTCCTATTCAATGAAAAGGAAACTTTTCCAAGGTCACGACTCACTTGGAAGATCCACAACTGCTAGAGACTTTGAGATATCATCTTTGCAAACGTATGATATCTCCTTAGAATTCCTAGATTTCTGTTAAATATAGAATGGAGCCATTTGAAATCCTCCACTTAACCTAAAAGCTTGAGATACTTCATCATGCAAACCAGGAACCACTTGGGAGTGTTTCCTTAAATCTTTATCCTTAACTTTCCATATTTTGCATCACTATACACTACTGAGAAAGAACTTCTAAATCATTCGACTGGTTAAGTTACCGAGCTAAAGAGAGCAATAAAGCAACCAGAAAATGGTAAGAATCATTCAGCAAGAAATCCATTTTCAATTTTGAAATCAAGAAAAGATTCCTAATTGCAATAACAAAGATGCCAACAGTCTAATACAATAAAGATGGAGGTCAGACGAGGACGATCTAATACAATAAAGATGGAGGTCAGACGAGGTCGATGTAAAAACATACGGCCTCATTAATATACCGCTTCAATTAATCGGGAAACAAAGTATCATACGATATAACGAACATGCAGCAAACCATTTAGAGACTACCGACACAATAATAACAAAGAACAGCATGCATTGACAGCTAAATACCAAAAACGCTGCGAATTCGTCATATGAAATAAACGCTGACAATCTCTATCCTAAACCCACCACAATATCTAGTCCTAAATACTATAAAAAAGAAGCATTCAAGAAAAAGACCAACTTCCCTTCTTCTTAAAAGTGGGAAAAAGAGGAAATGAAAACCAAGAAAAATGCCAAACCCATGAAACCTAAGCAGAATTCATATCTACAAGCAGTCTACTGCTGACTCACTTGAATTTGGAGAGAACTTTAGCGCGCTTATGGTGGACATCGCGATCGCGATCCTCAATAGTAGTCTCCACTGTAGAAGACAAAGCCAAAGCCGAGGCTCTACTACTCTCCCCACCCTCAGATTGATGCAGAATTCCAAAAGAAAAATTCCGAGGATTGATAGCCCCACCGCCGCCGCCGACGTCATCATCCCAATGAGCACCATCATCGCCGTCATCGTGCATTGCTCTGTCCATATCCTCAAACAATATCAGTCGATCAGCATCGTGGCGGTCAGGCCCATCAACAGCAATCGCAAGCGGGTCAGTCCCTTCAGAATCATCCCCATTTCGGACAATGCGATCAGAGTCATCCGGGTTGTCAAAAACATCCTCACACATGGGTTTCATTTCACCAATCTTCAGTTCCTCTTCCCTCTTGTCTTCTTCTCCAACGGTGAAGCATAAGCAGCACCAAATCGTCATACACTTGGACACAAAGGTCGAAGTCTTAAACACGAACCCTAACTGACGATCCCACGCATTTCCTCCTCCAAGTACGATTCCCGCTCAAAACCCAAAAAAAAAAAAAAAAAAAAAAAAAAAAAACCAATTCCAAAAATTAAAGCAATGAAACAAACCCCAAAGGCAGTGAAACCCTAGAAGGGGAAGATTAAAACGAAACCCAACCCAGCAACAAAAGACAACAGCCCGAATTGGATGGAGAATCAAACTCGCAAACACAAAGAGGGGGGAAATCAAAATCAAAATCAAGAAGGAGAATGAAATGGGAAACAAAAATTGAAAACAAAGAGAGGAGAAGATTTGAATGGATCTGATCGGACCTGAGATGCTTGTGTGTGCTGCTGCTAGTGGTGATGTAAAAATCCCAGAAATCCCAACTTTTAACAACAACAACGAATGAGCGACAGAGAGAGATGTGGAAGTGCTTTAATCAAAACAGACAATTATAAGAGACTTCCTAAGAACACACGTCCCAGTTCTAAGCCTATTTCCCAAAACGCCGTCGTCTCACTGTTTTAATAAATTACTCTCTTTGTTCCCCCAAGTTAGTTAAAATTAATTTAATTTTTTTTTAAATATTTAATACTTTTTTTATTTTTTTAAATTTAAAATTTATACTCTCATTAAACATAAAATCTAACTTAAATTTTTATTAAGTAATTTTAAATTTCTCCCTTCCACCATTTTTTAAATTTAAATATTAAAATAGATACGATGCGAAGAAAAAGTAAAAGATTAAATTTGTAATTTTATAAAAATCTTTAAAAAAGAAAAAACGGAAAGATACTCTGCGCGTGGGATATGGGATTTTAAAATGTGGGGGCAGAATTTGAGAAACACGCGCCAATAATTTGCACTAAAAATGGATAAAAGATTGGGGGTTCAAGGACAGATTTGGTGTGAACGGCAGGATTCTTTGCCGTTTCCCCCACTCTCCCGAGTCAAAGTCAATTCTTCGTTGCCCATTCCCGCCATAGAGATACAGAAATTTTTACCTTCAAATATTTACTACATTTTTTAACCACGGTAAACATATCATATTTTTACCTACAAGTATCTATTAATAATTTAAATATTCCATTATATTATTGATCATTCATGACGTTCGATTCATATACTTTTTGTAAAATTCACATCAGTGGTAGATGGGAACGAAACATTCATTAAAATGATGTGAAAACTTCTCTCTAGAATACACGTTTTAAAACCGTAAGGCTAAGGACGATGCATAATGAGCCAAAATGGACAATATTTGCTAGTAGTGGACTAGCTATTACAAATGATATTAGAGTTAGACATCAAACAATATGTGAGCGAGTACGCTGACCCCCAAAGAAGTGGATTGTGAGATTCATTTCCTATAAGGGTGTGGAAACCTCTTCCTAATAGACGTGATTTAAAACTATGAGGCTGATGATGACACGTAACGAACTAAAACAGATAATATACAAACACTTACTTTATTTATTAAACGTAGAGCTTGTCGGAAATCACCTCTTTGCACTAGGTTACTACCGTTGTAGTGTATGAAATCCTACTCGTAAAAGAATAAAGGGTTTTGCACATCGAGGCTATAAGCGTCGAGGTCATTGGTTTGGTGGCCAAATAACACGAGCATGGGAGCAGAATGGGGGCCATAAGAAGAGTGATGGAGAGAGGAGAGGAGTGAGTGAGTTTGATTTTAGGCATCCCATTTAACAAACACACTTCCTTCCCATGCTTCAAAATTGATCCTTTTAGTATATGCCCGACCCGACCTTCGGTTATTAATAGAGAGCTAAAAGAAGACAGTTCAGTCCAAGCTCACTGCTAGTAGATATTGTCTTTTTTGAACTTTCCATTTTCAAGCCAACGTGGGACCCCCCAATCCACCTCTTTCAGATTCTAGCGTCTTTGCTGACACAACGCCTCATGTTTCGTTCTCTTCTTCAATCAATATGGGAACTCACAATCCACCCCCTTTGGAGCCAATGTCCTTGTTGTGGGACTCCCAATCCACCCTCCTTCGAGATCCAGCATATTTGTTGGCACACTGCCTCATGTCCACTCTCTTCCAAGCTCAACCTCCTCGCCGACATATCATCCAGTGTCTGGCTCCAATACCATTTGTAACGGTCTAAGCTCACCGCTAGCAAATATGTGTTGGGTAATAAATAAGTTGGAATTACCAAAAAGGGGCTTAGGAACACAATAATTACGGAATGAGCCACCCTCACTCTTCTTCCTTAAAAAAAAAAATTATTTTTGTGTGACAATTCAACGGCTGGCCAGAAAGGGAACACGTGGGACCCACAGCCGATCTTTTCCAATTCCACGCTTCTTTCACTCTCACTCTCAGCCCATATAAGCCCAAATGGCCGACCACTCCATTTTTAAACCCTAAACCCATTTTCTCTATTTTCTTATTGCTTCTTAATATTAATTATTATTCTTATTTCTAAAAAATAGAGTAAATAATAAAAAATAATAACTACATTAAAAATATTTAATTTAATTTGTAGACGAGAATTTATGATAAATACATTAATTTATATTTTCTATTTTTATATAAACACAATTTTTTTTATTAATATAGTACTTAAAAATCAAACGAAATTTAAATTTATTTTCTTATATATTTAATGATATAAAATATTTTTAATATATACGTCATCTCTCAGTTTAGCTACTTTACAAGTTCCGGCCCGGCCCAACTTGAAGGGTAAAAACGTGGGCCTTAGAATTTTTCGAGCATAAGCCCAATTATAAAGGTCGCGGCCCAAAATATATATGGACCACATATTTTCAGCCCACTTCAAAAGGAAAATGGGCCAAGATCAATGGATTTATCTTAACAAAGCCACCTTCGAAAATAGCTAAACCACGGTTAACCGATATTGTCCACTTTGACCTGTTACGTATCGTCGTCAACCTCACGATTTTAAAACGCGTTTGTTAAGGAGAAGTTTCTACTCCTTATAAGAAATGTTTCGTTCTTTTCTACTGGGCAGAGGTTTCCACGTCCTTATAACAAGTGGTTTTTTTTTTTTTCTTTCCGACCAATGTGGGATCTTGCAGTATATGAGCAAAAATGGATTGGAAGTACTGATCATTGTGCAAAGATAGTCATAAGATCAATCTTGGAATTCGAAACTCGAAAAAATGTCCACCGCCAATAACGATTGAGATAAGATCCTTCAATAATACAAAGATTACCACAATTTTTGAAAAGAAATGTTTGAACTTTCGAGACACGAAAGTCTGAAATGGCTGCTTTTCATGGAAATTTGGATCGAATCTCATACTAACTCCGCCTTTTTAGATTTCTCCATTTTAATTTACTCGAAGCTAAAAATGGTTTAAATCACGTTCGTGCATGACTCAATAATCGAAAAAGGGATTTGCAATTGCATGCAGCTCTTATTGGTTGGGTACACCTTACAAGAAATCATAATCTTATAATTGCTCCCTACACCCAACGTTTTGGCCCCATTCCCCACTTTCTCTTCTTTTCATATTCAAAACTCCAACTAATTCCCCTCTTAACCATATCAAAACCCTAAAACTCGGTTTACTCTCGATCTTGCTCGATCTGGCTCGATTTGGCTTAGTTTTTAATGAATTTATATTATAGAATCGTATAGTCTCGATTATGAAAAAGACGATATTATCCCGGTCGAATGGCTTTCCATATTTGAGTTAAAAAAACAAAAAGGTTTCAATCATTTATTGCTTTCCCGAAAACCCAAATGATCAAATTTTGGGGTTTCTTTTTTTCGACCTCAAAAGATGTTTTTTTTTACGAGTGAAAACAACATGTAAAGTTTGGACTTGATTCTCCACCATTACAAATTGTGGGCTGAGTTTGCTTTTGAAGCGAACAATATTAGATTTTTGTTAAAATAAGAAGAAAAAAAATTAATAATTGTTGTTTTGAGGTCAAAAGAATCATCTTAATGTGAGCGTTGTTGAATTCTCGTGAAGATCTTTTGACCTGGAGCAAGGATGGCCATTGGATCAAATAATGCTTTTCTCTCCACAAATCTACCCCATTGGTTCCCAAAGTGAAGCTTCCACTCATCTCTCGAATGATAGTGTGGCAAATAGAGTTTGAAGTCGATATCATTCTCTTTGCATCGACGAATAATTTCCCTGTTCTGCTCCACCAATTTGTCAACCATTGAAGGTTTCGGGTTCGGGGGAGTGAAGCGCAACAATGCTACTAAATAGAATATCTCGCCTTCTGGTAACACAACCGACGTTCGAGAGTCCCACCTGCAATTATTACCAAGTTTAGGGTTTAGATTGAGATGAAATTAAGTGGACCGAGGGGAAGGGTATTTAGGGAAATTCGATTAGGTCCATGGTGTTAATGAATATATCCAGGTTGGCGAATAAAAAACCTTGTCGTTATATAGATAGCAAATATATCGACTTGAAAGTTCCATCACTTTTGTTTCTCATCTATTAGACGTCGTGAAAGTTATCTCTTAGGAAAAGGAAAAAAAGGAAAAAAAAAATGTAGAAAAAAAAGGTCCCATTTTCCTAGAAAAGTAATATTTGCATTGACCAATTTGCCCCTCCTACGACCAATATTCAAAATTTTTTTTAACATTCCAAAACATGGGACGGACACAATATCTTTGTCCCGCAAGTACACTATTCTTTAAACATACTTCCATTATTATTCATATTAAATTATTAATGTCTTATTATCTTATCTTTCCCAAAACGCTAAAGTGTCTTTTCTTTATTTATTATTTTTTAAAAAATAAATAAATAACAAACAAACAACGTTAATCGGAGTATTTAAATATATTTGTGCATCGCACGTGTGAGGAGTGAGGTGACACGTGTGTTATAGAGCTGTTTGACCTATTTCAAATCCTAACCACCCAATCCAAATGGTTCAGAAATTTGGTCAGCAAATCAGATTGAAGGGCTCAGGTGACTTAAGGTTTAAGCCTCAACGTCATCGTTTTGGGCCCATTTCCCATCCCCATCCCCCATCCCCCCAGGCCCATGTGGACAACACGTGTCCACGCAGATACAGTTCGTGAAAAACGTCGTCGTTTAGCACCCACCTGGACATTTGGCCAACTATTACGTGGCAGTAAGCATTTGTAGCTTAAATAGCATTTTAATAATAATAATAATTAAAAAGAAAAGTATTACCTGCTACGCAGTAGAGGGTAAACGAGCATGGGCCCACCGACCCCATTTTGAAGGAGGGACTTAAAGACCACACGATCAAAATCAGAGATGTCAGATTTGGACACGAAGAGGTTAAGCCAAGGATGAGGTGTATCCCAAACGCCATTGGCGATTGCTTCCTCTTCCGCACGCTTCACACGTGACAGAAATTGTATGTAGCTGACGTCCACCTGGAATCTCAGTGGCTTTATATACCCAAGCCCGGTCAGCAACCTGTGAACCTCCTGCCAAAACAGGCCCCCAAAAAA